TCTGCCATCTTTAAAACCATCTCGCTATTATTAGTATCTCTGATACTTCCTGCTAATCACTCTAATATTTGCTTGGACTTGTGGTATCTTTCCTGATCTGAAGTATGTATTCTACTTGGATGTTCAGTAAACTCTGCACATTGGCCCCATCAAAGTTGGGAGGTTGCCGACATAGTAAATAGCCTCCAAATCAATTAAGTTTCTATCATATCCAAAATATGTGGATATAAATAAGGATAAAGATTTTATTTGGAGCCTAAATAAACTATATTAAACAAACAAACAGGTTTAGCTTCTAGAAGAGAAGAATTAATGATGGATGCTTTGGGCACTATGATGGATATTTGCAGACTGAGAACAGTAGAGAAATAATCTTTTCCACATCAATAATAAAGATCTTTAATTCTGTGCTTCCACTTGAGATGATCAATAGAGGTTACAAACGTTCAACATAAAGCAATATATTCTGGTCTAAGTTTACATTTAAAATGCCAAACGATTGGGCACCAAGCCAAGTTTAATAAAATAAAATGCTTGTGTGAATGATAAATCATTCTTTGGAATTCTTCGCCAGCATGCTAAAGTTTTAACACTTGAGGGGATTATTCATTGTGTTGTTCTCATTTTACATCCATTTAATTTACAGGAATCAATAGATTACTCAGGGCTTCAAACCTAATGAAATCAGAAGCATTTAAAATATACAAATGATGTTAGATTTATGCTAAATATTATTGGAATTAGAATTATTTAGGTTTTTCTGTTCCTGTTGTAGTTTACACACATTATTATTCTGAAGAAGGGTTTTCTTTTACCTCAACAGGAACTTTCTCCCAATACTATTTGTAATTTCAGAGGAGTGGTTTTCATTAAGATTTCTGAGAGAAGAGGGAAACTTCCCTTACAATGCTTGCTTAAGAAATGGCAACAACTTTGGGAAAGAAACTACAAATTAACAATGGCAACAGCCTATAAAGAAAACTTGTATAAGGTGTTTTATAGATGTCATATGCCACCAGAAAGATTAGCTAAGATGTTTAAAGATAAATCAGCTAAGTGTTGGAAATGTCACCAGTTGCTGGGATCATACTATCATATGTGGTGGTTGTGTAAAGAAGCAAAAGAATATTGGGTGAAAATACAGACATGGTAGAGGGAATGCTGCAGCAACATATAGAGTTAAAACCAGAGATATTCTTATTGGGAATTGTACCAGAGAAATATAGTAAAGTAGATACATATTTGATTATTCATATAATAACAGCGGTTAGAATTGTATTGCACAAAACTGGAAAGCAGATAAAATCCCGTTGGAAGGAGAAATTATAAAGAAAATTTTAGAGTATGCAGAAATGAATAGATTAACATTGAGAATAAAAGATAAAGAGGAGTCGATGTATTTCAAGACATGGGATAAATTTTATGATTGGTTAGAAAAGAAATATGAATAAGGATATAGAAATAAAATAGATAGAGAATAGATGGGAGAAAACAATTAGAAAAATAGATACCCAGATGATGTCAAGTAAAAGGAGAAAGGGGAGGGGGGTAAAAGGGAAAAAATTGAGATATTATAAAAATGTGAAATAAAAATTAATAATAAATAATAATTATATTATTATATAATAATAAATAATAATTGAATAAAAAATTGAAATGAGAATAAAGATAATTAGAAAATCAGGGCTGCTTGAATACCACTTTAGATTGAACTGAAAAGGGAAACAACAGGAGAGAGGGGAAGGAGTAGAGAGAGAGGAAGGGAGAAGAGAGGAGAGGAGAGAAGAGAAGAGGAGAAAGAAGAATGGGAAAAGGAGAGGAAGAAAAGGGAGGGGAAAGAGGAGTAGAGGAGAAGGTTAGAAGGGGGGAAGAAGAGAGGAGTGGGGGAAGAGAAGGGGAAGTAGGAAAGAGAAGGAAGTAGGAGAAGAGAGAGGAAGGAAGAGAAGGGGAGGAGAAGAAGAAAGGTTGGAGTAAAGGTAAAGGGTAAAAGAGCAGTCCCGAAAAAGTAAAAATTAAAAATGAAAGTTAAAAGAAAAGATGAATGAAAAATTATGGAAATGACTGTACATGTAAATGTGTTTATGAGAAATAAAAATTAAAAATGTTTTAAAAATGCTTGCTTAACTCTGATATTTAACATTCCTTTCTATCATTCCTAGTTTTTATAGTTGGTCTTCAATTTAAAACCACAATTAAGATGAGAATTTCCACTGAAAGTCATTGAGGTCGTAAGTCAAATCAGACCAGATTTTAAAACAATTTTTATCACAGTTGTCAAATCAAAAGTTATATTTAACTATTTTCCCTTGCCATATATATTTAGTACATCTTTATATTATATGACTATTGTCTGGAACAAAAGCATCATTCTAAGCAAAACATTTATTTTTATTACAACATTTTTCCTAACAGTGATAATTTTAATATCCCCCTTTTTAACATCATCTTGATTTCATTCCATGTCTTAACATGATTATTTTGAAATAACACACAGTTCATATTTGTCATATAAATATCCAAGTACTTCAGTTTTTTCTTAAAACCAGTTTTCTCTATTAGTTCTATTGGATCTTCTAATTTCATTTTAACATCTTCATCTTCTGATCATTAATCTTAAAAGCTGCTGGCATACTAAAGTCATTTAATTTTCCTATTAATGTTTCTAAGTCACATGGCAAGATAGGCGGCAAATAAATTTAACAAATAAAATAAAGAAATAATCCCTCTAGTGCCAGAGTGTCAAACTCAATTTCATAGCAGGCTGCATCAACATTATGGTTGCCCTCAAAAGGCCAATTGCATGTAAGACTGTGACAACTCACAGCAACCAGGTGAGTGTGGCTGGGTGGGCATTGCCCGCTCAAAGCCACCTCCTGTGCGCATGCCCAGGGGAGCGCCCGGCTGAGCTGGTGTGGGCCAGGGCCATTTTCTGGTATATTGTCCATCACAAGGTCCAGGTTTGCTCCCTTAAATCTTGGGTTTCCTCCCTTAAATGGGATAAGAGAAAGGGAGTAGAAATAAATAAAATATACTAGAAAAGGAAAAAATATGTAAAAGAAAGGAGAGGAAGGAAAAGCATAAGGAGCGGGTTGAGAAGGAGGGAAGGAAAGGGAAAAGTGAATCAAAAAAAGAAAAAGGAAAGAAAGAAAAGAAAGAAAAGAAAAAGAAATGGAAATGGAAATAGAAGGAAGGGAACAGGAAGAGAGACAGATGAGAATGGAAGGGAGGAAAGAAGGAGAGGAGAGGAGAGGAGAGGAGAGAGAAGGGAAGGGAAGGCAGGGAAGGAAAGGAAAGGAAAGGAAAGGAAAGGAAAGGAAAGGAAAGGAAAGAAAGGTGAGGGACACTGCCCAGAGATGATATCTACCTTGGCAAAGAACTTTTGCCTGGGTCTGAAATGGAATGCAAAAACTGGGTGATTTAGAAAACTCTGCATTTACAGAGTGAACAGACTAATTTAACAGCCCTGGGTTTTACATCACTTCTTACAACCGTTGGTAATTTTCTCATTGAATTCTCTGGTAGTTCAGGTACATGATTTTGCCAGACCAGTATTTTTATCACAGGTGAAGCCAGAAAAAGGAGGCATCTCAAAAACACTCTGATGCAAAATTGTTTTCCCTCTTCCTCCTCTTAAGTTTAAATTAGGTTTATGAGGCTGTTTCTATAGGAGGCATGGATTCTTTGGCCTTAATAGCATTTTAATTTTAATTTTAATTTAAACTACTCATTTGAGTAATTTCACCCCTGGATAATCCCCCATTTGCCCTTCCATTGTTGAAAGGGGTGTTGGAAGTAAAACAATGAAAGAAAACCAACTTTTTCTTTGTGAAGGCTTTAAAAGGGCAGTAACTGACCCACGTGCTGTGGAACTCCACACAGGATTTTTCTCTCTGAATTCAAGTGACTGGGGGGGAGGGGGGAGGCAAATTACAGTCCCTAAAATTAATGTCACTCCGTAAGCAAGATAACCAAGCATCCTTCATTTAGTCACCTCAGTGGGATTGTAAATTGTTGGTTTTAATTGGGGATCTAAAACCCAGAATTTGCTTTTTTCTTATTTTCTTTTTCTTTCTTTTTTTTAAAGGAAGGGGGAGAAGAAAGTCTTTGTGAGTCCTTTTCTAACTCTCCAGTTTTTGTTGGAAAATGGGGCAACAGTCTGGAGTCCCTTGAATGTGGGTTCGCCTTGCTAGCCCAGGAATATTGCTGAGCTGAACTCGGCAATTTTCCTGGGCTAGCAATCAGGAATTTTTAATTCCAATCAGGAATTTTTAAACTGGAATTTTTTTCTCCCAATTTTTCTCAAATGGAGCTTCATAAGCTGCACCCAACCAAGGAAGGAACTTTACCCCTCACAAACTCATTTTAAAAACAGGTGTAGGCTTTTAAATTCCTGCCTCTGTTTTTGTAATCAAACTGGCATCTACAACACGGTAGAAATACATTGTGATCAATGCCCACCCATGTGTCTTTGGTTCAAAATACTAATTCAAAGGGGGGGGGCTTCTGGTGCAGGCTGCCCAGAGCCCAGGGCAGCAAATGGAAAGTGCCCATCCCAGTCCTCGAGCTCCCGCAGTACTGGGATCCCACAGTCCAGCCCCACTTCCTCAAGGGGGTGTCTGGCTGCACTTACCTCCTTGAAGCTGCTGTGAGGCATAGCGTGTCGAGGCCAGGTGGGTAAAGTGAGGCAAGGAGCGATGTGTCGAGACTGGGTAGGGCAAGGCCAGGCCAGGCAGAGCAGGGTGAGGCAGGGTGAGGCGAGGCTGGGCAAGTCCAATGAGCCCAGACCCCCCCTGCTCACTTTCTTCCAGGAAACATTTCTAATATAATCTCATAATTGCCTTTTAGGTTTAAAAAGAAACATATTGATCTGCATAAATGTTAATGCTGGATGGATCTAACCCAATAACTCACAGGAGACAATGGTATCTCTTCATTGATTCTTTATTCTAGGCCTGGAGTCCTCCTAGGCCCAAGTCAGGGTAAAGATCACTGACCTCTGTCTTGTCTTTGCAGGCACACATCTGGAACTGCTGGATGCCCACGTGTAGGACCCTTTTATATACCAGGGGAGGAGTCTGAGGTAAGGGGGTATGATGGGATATGGGGAGGTGCCAGCCCCTGCCTGGGAGAATTAGACATTTACCCTGACAAATCCCCCTCTAAATGTCTAATTAACGGCGGACATATGATATCTGTGAACATACATCTTAGGTACATAAAACACATGATCTACATATATACACATATTTTTGATGTGAGATATGCGTGTTGCTTTTGAGGTAGTGGCTTTGTAAGTATGTCTGCTGTTTGTTGTTCAGTGTCACAGTATATGGCTTTAATGAACCCCATTTCTGAGAATTGCCTAACGTGTTTATATTTTATGTCTATGTGCCTTGATCTCTGTCCCACGGCATCTGCTTTTGATATTTCTATAGCTGCCTTGTTGTCTTCATGTATGACTATGGGGTATGTTGGTTCGGCCCAGATGTCAGTAAGTAAATCATCAAACCACACTAGGTTATTTGCGGCTTTTGATAAGCAGACGAATTCGGCTTCGGTGGTAGAAGTGGCCACCAGCTTCTGTTTTCCCGTATACCAATGTATAGGGCAATTGTTTAAGAAGACTACGTACCCGGAAGTGCTTTTTCTGCTTTTGGCATCCCCGGCCCAGTCAGCGTCTGCATAGCAGGTTAACTTGGGTTTCTCAGACAGGTCTGGTTCGAGGCACAGCTGGGCATTGGCACTGTGTTTCAGGTACCTGAGCAGTCTTTTTATGGCATCCCAGTGCAGGACAGTGGGCTTGCTCACATGTCTGGACAGTAGATTGACGGCCAGAGCGATGTCAGGCCTCGTCCAGTTGGTGATGTAGAGTAGCGAGCCTATTGTTGACCTGTACAGCTTGTTGTCAACGAAGGGTTCAGCTTCATTGTACATGCTCCTTATGAAGTCCGGTTGCATGGGTGTCTCGCAGGGTTTTGCCCCTGACATGTTGCATTTGGATAACAGTTCCATGATTTTCTCTCTTTGTGAGATCCGGAAGCCCTTGTCAGTTTTAATCACTTGCACCCCTAGGTACTTGTCTATCTTCCCTAGTAACTCGGTGGCAAATTTATCGCATTTGGCCCTTTGCTTCCCTATGTACAATATATTATCCACATACACAAGAACACCTTCGAATGCTCCTCCCTCTCTCTTTGTGAAAAAACATTTGTCTGCAGAGGTGGCTTTGAAGCCCATGGTGTTGAGAGCTTTGGCTAGACAGTCGTACCACCTCTTGCCAGACTGTTTGAGTCCATATAAACTTTTGTTCAGGAGCCATGTGTTGTCCTTTCCATCGTTGTATCCTGGTGGGGCCTTAACATAGATCTCCTTATCCAATTCTGCGTGTAGATATGCGGTTTGCACATCGAATTGGAATACTTCCAGCCCTAGGATGGTGGCAATTACTAGGGTGCTCTTGACACTCTCAGCCCTGATTGTGGGGGAGTAGGTGTCCGTTTAGTCTTCCGGGTACCTTTGGGCGAAGCCTTGTGCGACCAACCTCGCTTTGTAGAGCGTTTTGTTGTCTTCGAGTGTTTTGACTTTGAACACCCACTTAGTCCCAATTGGCTTTTTGTTCTCAGGTGCTTGAGCTGGCGAGTATACTTGTAGTTCTCGGAGGCTCTCCATTTCCTTTTCCATGGCTTGCTTCCACCTTTCCCTCTCTTCCTGGGGGAGGCCGAGTATCTCTTCGTAGGAACTGGGTGTGAAATGCTCTGTGTGTATGGACATGACGTAGTCCTCTAGTCTCTTTGGTAACTTGTTCCTACTGGATCTAGTTGGTCTGTCTGGAGGCGTATCTGCTTAATGCAGGCATTCGGCTTCTTTTTTGGTGAGGCTATCTAGGTTCAGTGTGGGGTGTCCTTCTTTCCATTCCTCGGCTTTCAGTTCTTGGTGTTTGGGTCTGTCTGTTTCAGTTTCCTCTGGCCCCCTGGTGGTCAGTTCTTTGTCACTTTGGTTATGTGGTTGCATGTCTCTGCCAAGGAAAATGTCATTGCAGTGGAGCTTTGACCAATTCGAGTGCTCATGGAATTCCGCAGACCTGGACACAATGAATTTGTTATTGCAGTCCACAAATCTGAATCCCTTTGTTCCAGGCTCATAGCCCACGAACCTTAGTCTTTTTGACACCTTTTCTCCCTTCTTCCTTAGCTGTCGGGGAATGTGGACGTCAGCTGGGGCACCAAATACATGTAGGTGGGCTAGGTTGGGTTTTCTATTGTACATTAGTTCGTATGGGGTTTTATTGATTGAGCTTGACCACAACCTGTTTAGTGTGTAATTTGAATAGTGTAGTGCCTCTGACCAGAATGATTGGCTCATTCCAGCGTCCTCCAAAACACACCTCATCATTGTTTGGAGCAATCCGTTTTTTCATTCTGAGACCCCATTCTGGAATGGAGAAAAAGGGGTGGAGCTAAAATGCAATATGCCCCTCTCCCTTAACCATTTTGCAAAGTCCTTGGCCATGAATTCTGTGCCCCGGTCAGTCATTATCTGTTTGATTTTCACCCCATGTTGTAGTTCCACCCTTTTATAAAAGTCTTTGAACCTTTGGAATGTCTCATTTTTATGCTTGAGAGAGTACACATAGCCATACCTGCTGTAGTCATCTACTATGGTTAAGAAAAACCTTTTCCTGTGTCCAATGGAAGGTCTCAGTGGTCCCACTAAATCCATGTGTACTAGCTGAAATGGGTGGTCAGTTGTGCGCTCTGACCTTTTGGGCCTCGCTTTGACCTTAATTTTTGAAGATTTACACACTGAACACTCCAAATAATTTTTGCAGTCCTTTACTTTCAAACCCTCTGTACATTCTAGCATTTTTTCTACAACCAGGAAACTGATATGTCCTAGCCTTCTGTGAAGGAGGTGGGCACAATTGTCGTGGATGGGTTTTCCCACGGATATCTTGTTTTTGCTTGGTGACACAGTGTTTGTTTCCTCCTGGGGTCCCCCTCTAGTTTCAGTGTCTTCCCCCTGGTCATGGGTGATGCTTGTGTTTATACTTCCCTCGCTGTTCTCAAGTACGGTAATCCATCATGTGTGGTTACCTTGCCAACCCTTTTTCCTTGGTTGAGTATCTGTACCCTGCCTTCCTTGAATGTTACCTCTGTGTCTGTGTCTGTTGTGAGCTTTGCGATGGCTAAGACATTGTGGGGTATTTCTGGCACGTACAGTACCCCCTCTATTTTCCCAATCCCTGGTATATGTACATTCCCTCTCCCTATGACCTTGGCTGTGCTCTGGTTAGCCATTCTGATCTTGAAGTCTGTCTCTACGAGGGAGGTGAATAGATTGGGGTTGTGTGTTGTATGATTAGTGGCTCCTGAATCCAGAAGCCACATGTTCTCATCTGCCCCCTGCTTGGGGTCTGCTTTACCATGCCTGAAGCCATACATGGTCCCTGGGTTGCTATCTCTGGAAGCATCCCTGCGTTCACTGCTTTTTCTAGAGTTGGGTGACCACCCATGTCCCCGTTCCCTGAAATGTCTGTGGTCTGGTGACCGTCTCTCTCTATATCCCCTGTCCCTATCACCTCTGGGGCAATCCCTCCTTAAATGATTCCTGGACCCACAGGAAAAACACTCTGGGGCAACCTTTCCCCTGTCCTGGAACTCAACCCTTTTGGTGGGTCTGGGGTCCCTTCTTGACATGTGGCAGTCCCTCCTTAAATTATCCTCTGCAATAAGGCGGTTAGTGAGTGTGTCTAATGTTAAGTGTTCTAGACTGAGGCTGTCCAATTGCATCACAAAGTTGTCCCAGCTACTGTCTAAAGAGTTTATGACTATACTCATCATACTCTCCTCAGTGATTGCTTCACCCCTATACATTAATTCAATCCTGGTTGCGTTAAGTTCTAACAGGTGTTCACTCATAGGGACCCCTGGTCTAAGTCTGGCAGAATGGAATTCTCTGGAAATCCTACTTGTGGTTGCTCTACTTCTGCTGTAAAAAAGGTTATAAAGTTTTTGTATCACTTCATGCACTGTCATGTGATTCCCTATGCTTGGGTACAAAGTTGGAGAAATACTGGTTAACAAAATACAAAAAGCCCTGTGGTGGTTACAGTCAATTTCAAAAGTCCAGGGTTTCTGGGGTGGATCTGATATTAGGAAAAGTAAGTTTTCTTTCATAAAAACTATCTGCAGCTTTTGACTCCGCTCTAGAAAATTTTTTCCATCTATTTGCAGTTTGGGAAAGTTGACAGGTAAAGCCCCAGAATTGTTAGAATGGTTACTTACAGAGGGTAGCTGTCCATGGTTTTGTGAGTGAGGGAACTCACAATATGGCATGGGAATGGCTATTCTGTACTGACTTGTCTCTATGTTCTGACTTATCTCTATGTTCCTCCCTTCTCTTCCTGCAGGTGGCGTCGGAGCATGTGTGAGGCCCATTTCATGCTGGAGGCCGTCTGGAGGGGAGCTCATGGCTGCAGTTCTCAGGCCTAGGCCTTGACTCACCCCTGGTGGGTCTGGATGCATCGTGGGGCCCTGGAAGTCGCTGCTGGGCTGTGTAGTCCCCGGCGAAGAATGGCTGGAGGCTCAGGATCGAAACGGTCATAAGTCGAGGACTTTCGAGGATCGGTGGTGCGGCGGCAGCGGTGGTGGCGATGGCTGGTCCTGATCTGGATGTGCTGGCCCCTGGTTGGTTGGAGAAGCCTGGCAGAGGTCGCAGAGCAGGAAGGTAGCTGGCACGTCTCTCTTCTCTTGGATCCCTCGTAGTTAGTGAGGTGGGTGGTGAGTTCGAGTCCTGCCTTTGTTCTGCTCCATAGGCGGTCGGGGTTTCTTGTTCATTGTGGAAGCACGTTGCCCCCTTTGGTAGTCATAGGGTTGGTGTCTCGAAGCCGGTGGTCACTCTGGTGCCTTCTTGGCCCTCGAGGTTTTCCTTGCAGCTTGTGGTTGGTGCAGGAGGCTTGAATGTGGAGCCAAAGGCTGCTGCTAGAGTCTCCGTTGCTTTTTCTATCTCGAGCACACTAGGCAAGTTCTGGTTTACTTGGGCTTGTCTATTGCAGTTGTTTTCTGGATGCTCCCCATTTGTTTTGGGGCCTTGGCTGTTTTCCGCCATTGGATTCAAATCCTGGCTTCCCATTGGTTGCTGGCCATTCCAAAATGGCCACCGGGAAATTGGCGCGAAACTGAGCCCCTCTATGTCCGGGGCCTCTGCAAGGGAATCCCCTTCCCTTTCCCTTACCGGGCTGGCATCTTCTTGGGTGCTCATCGCTGCTCCATGGGTTTTTAGGAGGCCTTGGAGTTTCGTGATGAGCTCTCCATTGCTGATGGGCGCTTCCATCATTTTCAGCAGGGCCATTCTCAGTTCGTCTTCCTCTCGTGGCTCTTCTCTTTCGTGGTCATCTGATTCCTCCCGTGGTCTCTCTTTACAGAGGAGTGGGTCCAGCTCGATGTCCTGTCCACTTCCAGCTGGGGTGGCTCTTGGCATGGCACCTTTGGGTGTCAGTTGAGCAGCCATCCTCTTGGTGAATGCCCTGGTGTTTACTCTGCTCTTCTTATCAGAGTGAACAGCTTGTTCAGTCATTCTTTAGAGTTATGGGTAACCACCCTCTGCTGCCAATTTGTTAATGCTGGATGGATCTAACCCAATAACTCACAGGAGACAATGGTATCTCTTCATTGATTCTTTATTCTAGGCCTGGAGTCCTCCTAGGCCCAAGTCAGGGTAAAGATCACTGACCTCTGTCTTGTCTTTGCAGGCACACATCTGGAACTGCTGGAACTGCTGGAACTGCTGGAACTGCCCACGTGTAGGACCCTTTTATATACCAGGGGAGGAGTCTGAGGTAAGGGGGTATGATGGGATATGGGAAGGTGCCAGCCCCTGTCTGGGAGAATTAGACATTTACCCTGACAATAAATAAAGTCCTATGGGCTGGGGCCGAGGTGGTGGGGGCTGGCCCCATAGCATTTCCAGGATGACCCTCGGGGCAGATCTGACCACATCATGGGCCGATCTAGCCTGCAGGCATTAAGTTTGACATGTCTGCTCTAGTGGGTCTTCCAAAACTAACACCGGATCACTCGTAAATGTCTTAATATCTTTTAAAATCTTAACTCCTGTAATTCTGTCATCTTGTCTTATGTCTCTATTCAGTACCCCAAGAACTAAAAAGAGTTCATTTTTACAAGGCATCCTTGCCATGTTCCTTTTTTTGAATTACACAAAGTTTTGCTAGTTCTCCACTAATAATTATTTGTGTTTTCTGTGAAGTATAAATCTATGTTACCTATTTTAAGGTGACCAATCGTCCTCCTTTAATGAGGACAGTCCTTCTTTTGTAAGTCTACATGTCCTCCTTTTCGATATTTGAAGACTAATCTGTAAATCTCCATATTCGATCGATGCTGATCTGATCCGTTGAGTGTGATGTGACATATTTGTATTTGACATGACAATTCATCAAGGCTCAGTACAGTGCAGCGAGACGCAATTATGAGGCGCATGCGCTCCACACAGGAGAATTGTTTTGAGAGATGTGCTGCACGCAAGTGGCTTTGTTTACTTCTTACCGAAAAATGACACACACGCACATGTCCTCCTTCTCATTGTAAAAAAGTTGGTCACCTTACCTATTTAATAAAATTATCTCCAAGATTCGTATGTTCCACAATTCTGAACAAGGAAACCCAATTCAAATTGTCAAAAGGCTTCTCTGCATCCAAGATCAATGCAGCTTGTTTTTTCACTGTATAGCTCCAAATACTATCCAAAACATTTCTAATATAATCTCATAATTGTCTTTTAGGTTAAAAAAAACACATATTGATCTGCATGAATAAAGTCCTGTAAAATTACACTGAACATTTTAGCCAAAATTATGGTAAACAACTTATAATAATTATTCAATAAAGACATTGGTCAACAATTACTTGTTAAAGTCAACTCTTGGTTCTCTTTAGATATTAATCCTAAATCAGCCTCCTTCCAGCTATCAGGAACCTTTCCATTCTATAAAATAATACTCATGGTTTGTTGTAAAAGCTTATAAAAGTTGATCCCCAAATCATTTATAACAAGAATCCAGCAGCTCATCTAGATCAGGTGTTTTTCCTGTTTTTTAAATAGTTTCCCCTTTTCATATATTTCCCTTATTGTTATAGATCCATTTAAAATTTGTCTCTGATTCACTATGATCCTTGGTAAATTCTATTTATGTAAATATTACTCCACCTTTTCTAAGGAAACTGTCTGAACTTTACATAAAGTAGAATAATATTGATGAAACGGTTTGTGCTTTTTTGCATTATCTGTTATTACAGTATTTCCTCCTTGTAACTTAATATCACTTTATTTCCTTTTTCTTTTCCCAACTTATATCCAACCATTTCCTTGGTTTATTTGCAAACTCAAACATTTTTTGTTCCACATAATTCATCTTTATTTCCATTTCTTTCACTGTTAACACAGATATTTGTGACATTAAATATCCTTCCATCATATGCCCCTACTATGGACAGAATACGGGCTTGCAAGAATTCATAGATAAGCCACTGCTGCATTTGACACTCATGTTGTCCTGCCAACTGTATGGGAGAGATTCTGATAAGGACAGTATTTCCTGCATGTTGAAGTACTCAAGATGTAGCAATATACAGTATATTAACAGCCTGTTCTAACATTCTTGAAATATTCAGCCAGCAGAGGACAGTGCTAATCTGAAACTCCAGTATGCAAAACCTTTAATACTTTAATATGGTTAAAACAGTTGGATATATGGGCCTAATAAAATTGCAGGCATTAAATCCCATGAGTTCTTTGTACTTATTGAAATTACAGAAAAGTCTGTTCTAGGCTACTTTTCCCCTTTTCATTCAGAGAATGGGCCAGCTGAGTGTTAGGCTTCATGCTTATCTTGATGGCATATGAACTTGTTAAGTATTTGTTATAAATTTTATTTTGCTCAGATTGCTTTTTCCCTGAGGCAAATGCATTTAAAGCCGAACTTTCTGTCATCTGTAGTATACCGGTACTTATTTTTCTACAATTTAAGAATTGCCACACAATAAGAGCCAATGTATTTAAGTAAAATAGGAATTGTTTCCAAATGCTTATATAAAAGAATGGTAACATTGCAGGCAAGCCTACCTATAGAGGACACTTAACTGGCACATATTTTGAATTTTAATCAATTTTTAAATGATGTAAAAGAATGGAAAGAACAGGGTTGGAGCATAGGTTTAAAAAGAACTCTGATAATATTCTACAGAAATCAAAGGCAAAATAGCAATATAGACTATAATTGTTATTGTACTGTGGTCTATCAAGAACTCTATTCCCAAAGCTGTATTCTGCTAAGAGATACATTTCATGCAAATTGGGAAAGGCCCAAAGCAAACTGTAGGTATGGCCAAAGGCTAAATTTGATCATCATGCTTGATGCTCCTTTTTTGGGGAGGGGATTTTCTGGCACCCTCTTTTTCTCTATATATTTCTCTTCATCCTGAAGACTGCCAGAGAATGACACATTATTCCTGCCAGAAGTCTGAATTAATACTGTGCCAAAGTTTGCCTTGCAATTTCTCAAAGGTTTTGTTCCCCAGAGAATGAGGCTTCTGTTATTTTTTTATCTTATTCTCAGGCTGCTCAAGGATTCTTTCAAATTTCTCTGATTGATATGCTTTTTAGCTGACTTTACCCAAAGTGAAAGGTGCTGGTGATTTTTTTTTTTCTGAGGGAGGTCTCTCCCCTCTTCTGGCACCTCACTTGTTGCTAGTATTTCCCATCTGAAAAAGCTTCATGGAAGGAGATCCCACATGCTGCCTTCCTTTGGGGCTTAATGAAGTGTGGGAAACCTCTTTTTTAAAAGGAATTTTGAAAGCCAATTCTCTTTCATCAGACTGAAGGTACTTCCATGACAGCTTTGCATCGCTTCTGAATCAGCTGTGGACCTCTGCACTCATTTGTTCTCTGGTTTTGGCAGTGTTTCTTATTCTGCTGCAATTTACTTGTAGACTAGAGGCAATCTGTTTTATTTTTTGCAATGCTGCTGCCTGCTCTTTGGAGTTAACCTGTTTGTCCATAAATGGAAGATCCAACCTTACTATGTCTCCTGACTCCCAAATGGCAACCCTTTCTTTCTTTCTTTCTTTCTTTCTTTCTTTCTTTCTTTCTTTCTTTCTTTCTTTCTTTCTTTCTTTCTCGCTCTTTCTTCAGTATCCTGGCACTGTTCATAAGCTTTGCTTGGTACGTAATCTTCCTCTACATGCTGTGACTACTATAGAGGTGAAGATTGGTCAAATTTTTACAATTTGTAATTTGAAATGGTCACTAAATGAGACAGTAGGTAAGTGAGAACTATGTATACAAAGATCCACCCTTTCCCTATGTGGTCTTTAGGGGCTGGAGTTAGGCTTATTATTTAACTTTATAATCTCAAACCAGCAACTCTAGGAATAGTTTCTAATCTGTTCTCCAAAACTTTAGCCACAACCTTTGAGGTCCTGCTGCCTGCATTCTGCAACTTAGTTTTTGATTTCAACTATAAGTCTGTAGATTTCAACCATGTTAAACTTTCCTCCCATACATCAACTTCTTTATAACTACTGGGAAGAGTAATACACTTAACTATTAAGAATGTATAGACAACTGATCTCACAGAGACCATTAACAGGATGTCCTAATGATGATCCCATATTATTTATGAAGGTTTTAAAACCTTCATAAATACTTATTTTATTTTTATTTATAATTTTTATTTGCTGCCCATCTCTGAGCAACTTTTTAGCTTACCTTGGAGAAATCTTCTCTTAAACCCAATAAAAGGTAATTCTTGGTTGATTTTTGCTTCAGAAGCTAATCTAAACAGGTTCAGCTCTGGTTAATACTTATATGGAAGACCTCCATGTAAAACCAGAACTGGGGGCTAGACTGGAGACTAAAAAGTATCTACAAAGAAGGCAATGGCAACCTGCTTCTAGACTGTTGCCAAGAAAGTGATACAGAGATACAGTATCTAGGAAGTTATTTGTTGAGAAAAACATGAAGGAAAGTTTACCCAAGGGGCAGTAGTTTCTCATGAGTAAATCAAAAGCTGCCATAGCAGCTTTTCTTCTTCCCCTTAAAATGATGTTGATCCAACAATAAAGAGGCTCATCCACCATCTTTAGTTTATGCACTGTTTCAACTATCATTTATTGTGTAGAGAAACAAATATAACTTATCAAAAGCCATAATTAAAGGATTTTGGATTAAACTGAAAAAAATATTCAGTAGTCTAAGGATTGCAGCAAGCTACAAGACTAAGAATATCCCTGAAGACAGAAATAACAGCGTTGAAATAATTTATCCCCATTCTTAACCTTTTTGATGCCTAATGTTGCTGCTGATCATTTCACAAAATTGGTTGAAATAAAGTGAAGTGTATTTACTGTACTTATGAAATAAAGGTATTTCCCAGTAAAAGGAAATGAGGGAATCCCCATTATAGTATGAATCCATAACAGTATGAATCCATAGTGAAGATCTCCCCCCCCCCATTTCTATTGAAATAACAGTATTAATCATGGTTTCTTCATATCTACAATTGAATTAATCTGAAAGTAAGCTATATCAAGGGCAGGCTGAGGATTTTGCACAGTATCTGCACGATAAAATCGCTCAGATTCGGGAAGGCTTGGACTCTGACTGGGTAGATCCCGGCGGGGTGACTGAGGCTGGTCTTGAGAATGTTACCTGGGATGAGTTCGACCCTGTGACTCCTGAGGACGTGGACAGGATCCTGGGGAGATTAAACGCAACCACATGTTTATTGGACCCGTGCCCCTCCTGGCTGGTACTGGCCACCCGGGAGGTAACACGAGGCTGGCTCCAGAGGATCATAAATGCTTCTCTGAGAGAGGGTTTCTTGCCTCCCGCCTTGAAAGAGGCGGTGGTGAGGCCCCTCCTCAAGAAGCCTTCTCTGGACCCGGCCGTTTTGGCAAACTATCGTCCGGTCTCCAACCTTCGCTTTGTTGCGAAGGTTGTGGAGAGTGTGGTTGCGCGACAGCTCCCACAGTTCCTGGATGAAACCGTCTATCTAGATCCGTGCCAGTCCGGCTTCAGGCCTGGGTACAGCACGGAGACGGCATTGGTCGCATTGGTGGATGATCTCTGGAGGGCTCGGGACAGGGGTTGTTCCTCTGTTCTGGTCCTGTTAGACCTCTCAGCGGCTTTTGATACCATCGACCATGGTATCATGCTGCGCCGGCTGGAGGGACTGGGGGTGGGAGGCACCGTGTTGCGGTGGTTCTCCTCCTATCTCTCTGACCAGTCGCAGTCTGTGTTGGCAGGGGGCAGAGGTCGACCTCGAGGCGCCTTGCTTGCGGGGTGCCGCAAGGGTCGGTCCTCTCGCCGCTCCTGTTCAACATTTATGTGAAGCCGCTGGGTGAGATCATCCGTGGTTTTGGGGTGCGATGCCATCTGTACGCTGATGACACTCAGCTGTACATTTCCACCCCAGACCACCCCAATGATGCCCTCGAAGTGATGTCCCAGTGTCTGGAGGCCGTGCGGGTCTGGATGGGGAGGAACAGGCTTCGGCTCAACCCTTCCAAGACCGAGGGGCTGTGGATGCCGGCGTCCCGGTATAGCCGGCTGGTGCCATCGCTGGCTATTGGGGGCGAGTCACTGACCCCCACAGAGGGGGCTCGCAACTTGGGCGTCCTCCTGGACACACGGCTGTCTTTAGAAGAGCATATGACGGCCGTGGCCAGGGGGGCTTTTTATCAGGTTCGCCTGATACGCCAGTTGCGCCCCTTTCTGGATCGGGACTCCTTGTGCACAGTCACTCATGCCTTGGTTACATCACGCCTAGACTACTGTAACGCTCTCTACATGGGGCTCCCCCTGAGGAGCACCCGGAGGCTCCAGCTGGTGCAGAATGCGGCCGCGCGGGTGATTATGGGAGCGACGTGGCGCTCCCACGTAACACCTCTCCTGCACGAGCTGCATTGGCTCCCGGTGGTCTTCCGGGTGCGCTTTAAGGTGTTGGTTCTCATCTTTAAAGCGCTCCATGGCTTAGGGCCAGGGTATTTGCGAGACCGCCTGCTGCTACCGATAACCTCCCACCGGCCAATACGCTCTCACAGAGAGGGCCTCCTCGGGGTGCCGTTGGTCAGGCAATGTCGGCTGGCGGCCCCCAGGGGGCGAGCCTTCTCTGTGGGGGCACCCGCCCTGTGGAATGAGCTGCCTCCTGGAATACGATTGATCCCGGACCTCCGGACCTTCCGTAAAGCCCTGAAGACGTTTTTATTTCATCAAGCCGGCCTAGCCTAAATGGTTTTTAATTGGGATTTTAAATTTTATGGATTTGGGGGTTTTAAATTTGGGTAGCCAATGATTTAATTCTTTTAATTATCTTAACTTTTGCATTTGTATGTTTTTTAATTTTGGCTGTTCACCGCCCTGAGTCCCTTCTGGGAGAAGGGCGGTATACAAATTAAATAAATAAATAAATAAATAAATAAATATCAGTCTCCGTAAAATCAGAATATATATTTGTATTTATTATTTTATGCATCTCTTCCATCTAAGTTGAAGTATTTACCTAAATGATCAAAGAATGCACATCCCTTTCTAACAAATGTTTGGAAGCAAGCCCATCTTCAAATGTAATCAGCAGCAATGCTTATGAAAATCCCAAGGGTTTCCACAGAACTGAAAAATGAGAAAATCAGTGGCACACATTTACAAAACCAGCTCCATCCTTTTTAAACACATCTGTGATGTCCAAATGCATGTGCAAAG